CTCGATCTTCACCTCGGGCCGCAGGGTGAACTGGGGCAGGGTAGGCGCCAGCTTCTCCCCGGAGTGCGACGCTGTGGAGGGAGAGAGGGGACGGGGGTCACGCTCCCTGGATGCCCTACACCGCAGTACCCCCCGACCCCCCAGGAGGGATGGGGGATCCACCGGCCAGCCTCGGCGCCCCCGCTCGCCCACAGCCCCCGGGATGGGCACGGGGGTACTTACTGGAGGCGCAGCAGACAAACACCTTCATCTTCAGGCAGGCCCGGCGGTGGTTGTGTGTTGGCGTGGCTGCAAGGAAAGAGCGTGCTGAGAGGGAATCCATGGCAGAGACCCCAACCCCAGGCACCCCGAGGCTTGGTGGGTCTGGGCAGAGCGAGGTCTGGTCCTGCCCAGGGGTGCACTCTGGGCTGAAGGAATGCAGCAGCACCCCAAATCCTGCAGCAATGCCCTGTTACCAGCACCCCGGCCCTGAACCATCAGCCCCAGCATCTCAACCCAGCACTGGCACCTGGCACCAACACTGCAATCCTGCAGCAGCAGCAGCAGCCCCTGAAGCCTGATCCTGCATCCTCCATCATCATTCCCCAGCGCTCCATCATGCACTGGCACCCCCATCCACACCCCCACCTTTCTCCACATCCCTATCTGTTCCCCACACCTTGTAAACCCCCGCTCCCTCAACCCCTCCCAGAGCTCCAGGTGCCCACTCTGAGGGGGAACCAGCCAAGGGGGTCCTCCCTGGGGACGCAGAGGGGCCCAGCTGGGTGGGGGGGACCCATCAGGGGCTTGGGGGGACCCGCCGCGGCGCCCCACGTACATATGTAGTAGTACTCCTGCCCCGCACGGAACTCGTAGCCCAGTGAGAAGGCGCTGTAGCGCTGGAACTTCTCTGAGAACTTGATGGGGCTGTGGGGTGCGTGGGGCCGGTTGCACTCCCAGCGCTTGAAGCCCTGGCTGGTGTTGCAGGTGCGGTACCCCTCCGCGTTCACCATGTACAGCACGTACTGCTCCAGCCGGTGCTCGGGCACCGAGGCGTTGTAGTGCGGGCAGTAGATGTCCAGGTAGTCGTTGACATTCACCTGCACCGTGTAGCCCTCCCGCCGCAGGCTGCAAGGGAAAGAAGGGCCGGGAGGTCAGGGACATGCCCGGCACCTCCCCAGGGTTCCCGTCCTCCAAGGGGACCCCGAGGCTGGACGAGGGAGGGGCAGGTTGCAGCGAAGGCTGGAACTCTGGGAACGGAGAGTCCCTCTGTTCAGTCTCTGTCTGGAGCGGGACACGGTGGGACCCGTGCACGACCTGAGCCTCACGTACCCGTGGGGCAGAATCACCGTGCAGAAGGGGACAGGCACTGCTGGGGACGGGCGTCAATCCACACGCACAGGGGGCATGGGCGAGAGCAGGGGCATACGAGGCGGTGCTTCTGGCTCTGTCGGGAACGTGCCAACAGCCTCAAAGAGGAGACGATGGACAGACAGACCCAGGAGGGCATCAGAGTCTCCACGGGACACAGTCCGTGGGTGTGCGGGGGACCCCGGCATTCCCTGGCATTCCCTGGCATTCCCTGGCATCCCCCATTTCCAGCAGCCTGGAGCCGACCCACCGCTGCCGCCCACCACGGCCCTGGCACGCGCCGCAGCTCGGAGCCAGGATTTCTCACCCTGCTCTGGCTAATCCCGTTAGTTCGTTAATGCCATAAAGGGTGGCCCTGGGGGAGCCTCATTTACATTGATTAGGAGCAGCAATCCCCTCAGATCCACTCAGGAGAGGCTCCGCTGGCTCCTAATCCGCGCCCGACGGAAATCCCGGCCACGGTAATCCTCGCCGCCGCGCTGACCCGCTGCTCCTGCCAATTAATTACCACCCGGAGCTGGCTCGGCACCGGACCCTGACCGGACCGTGCTCCGCCGCCCGCTTCAGCGCTGCCTCGGGGGTCCCTGGCCCGCATCCCGCAGCACACGGACCGCAGCATCCCGGCACACGCGGCCCAGCTCCCCTGTGGAGCTCCAGCTCACGGCGCATCGCT